GTCTGAAGCATTATCTGTTCTCAGAACGGACTAAAGTAGGAATGGTATGGTAATTTCTATTTCTGTGGTTACATGTGAAATATTGAATGGAAGGAAAACTTCAGAATTTTGTTCTTGAGTTTAAAAGAACCGTCTACCATCCAGGGAAGGAATTCATAAACATTGTTACAAGATACAGTGTTTCACCAAACATTTTATAACAATCCCCCGAGCTAAATTTCTCTCATAGCACACTGTATGGCGTATGCCCGTCTTCATTAGCCCAGTTCGGAAAAGAACAGTAAGACGTTAAACCCCATTTCATTTCATTTCCTAAATCCTCCATTTTCTTTCCGAGCATGGAAGCCATAGTGAGGCGCGGGTCTCCCATGTCAGTGGTGCAGAACGGAGGGTCTGGCAAGGAACAACCCACATTGGTTCGGATGGGACGAAAAACCGATGTCCCGTGTACACAGGCGTGCACGTAAAAGAACTCATGGCAGTTGGAATTCGATATGAGTTGGCCGTAGCGCCGCTGTTAGGGCAAAATTGCTCCCATAGCACACTGTATGGCGTATGCCCGTCTTCATTAGCCTTGTCGGGGCCGAACATATGAAGGTTAAACCCCCATTTCATTTCATTTCTCTAGGAGAGAAAGCAATGTGTACAAGCTTAAGGTATTCCCAATATGGCGGTAATCGCACACAGCGATTACTCGAGGGTTTCGGTATGTTGTTTTTATTAAAATTGTTTAAGCTTATTAAACATGTACGGGCGTACCAGGACCTGGCCATGATGTTTGAGAATATGGTACAGAGAGTTCCCCTTCATTCGGGTACATATAGATTTCACAAAAAGGTATTGTTCTCTGCATATACACCTATCACTCTGTAAATGTAAAGACAGAATTTGAAAAGCTTTCTTTAACAAATGCTGACACGGTTATGACGTCATAACTTTTTATTGAGGATGAAATTGAGAAATTTAATTAACCATTATCGATGCAGAATTGTTCAAAGGTGAATTGACTGAGCCTTGGGCTTTTTCGAAGAGTGTCACGCGAAGAACAAGATGGGTAGCGGTTAGCGACCAGTTCCTGGTCCATAAAATAAAGAATTATGATGCTCAATCCAGCGAGAAGTAACTAAGATAAACGCACATTTAGAAAAAGGACTGTTTTAAAATAAAATGGGGTTTAACGTCCTACTGTTTTGCTCCTAAACTGGGCTAATGAAGACGGGCATACGCCATACAGTGTGCTATGGGGGAAATTTTGCCCGGGCAGCGGCGCTACTGCCTACTCTTATATCGAATTCCAACTGCCAAGGGATCTTTTACGTGCACGCCAATTTGTACACGGGGCCTCGGTTTTTCGTCCCATCCGAACGACTAGACAGCTGTCATTGTCAGGCCCTCCGCCCTGCATCACTGACAAGGGGAAACCACGCCGGAAAATCTGGATGAACTTTCTCGGCAAATGCAGGGATCGAACATCCAACCTCCAGGCTAGCGAGCCAGCGTCTTACCCACATAGCCACGTGATCCCCCGGACTGTTTTAACCGCACATGAATACTACACAATGAAGTTGGTAATGTCTTTGGGAATACAAGTACTGTAGCTAATTCTACTTAAACTGTTCTTACGCAACTTTCTTAAATTCTCCCTCGGTGGCTTATTTCTGTTGACCTTGTAATGGATATGAAATAAAATGGGTATTAATATCCTACTTTTCTGCACCGACTCGGTTAATGAAGACGGCCATACAGTGTGCTACGGTCGACTCTCAAATTCGAATTAAAACTGTTAAGTGTTTTTTTAGTACACTAAACCTCGTCATTTCGTCCGATCCGAACAACTAGACAGTCCTTACGAGGCCCTCCTGGTACTACTGACAAAGGAAAACCACACTTGGAAATCACAAAGTACTTTCTCGGCCAACACCGTCATCGAACCCCGAACGGACCCCCTGCTTAGAGAACGGGGTTCGATTCCGGTGCTGTCCAAAAAAGTTTTCCGGGAATTTGTAATGGCGAAATTGACGTGTTATAAACCTATAGTAGAATGAAAAAAAAACAGGTAGGAATACAATGTTCCTTTCGTTTATCTTTATATGTACAGTTCCAGGAAATGAAATGGTGTTTGACGTCTTACCTTTGTGAACCAAGCGGTCTAGGATAGCTTAAATGATTTATGGTCATGCAGGTAGGCATTGGCTAAATCTCAAATACACACCCCTTCATCCATAGATTGGTTGGTACCCTCCCGTTTCGCCTACGTCCCATTTCGACTACAGCCTCTAACAACAGATTATATGGTTTGGTGGTTTTATTATCCCTATTTATATACCCTCTCTATAGCTAAAATAGATTCTTCCATATCCCATTTAAGCTACAGCGTATAACAGATTAAATAAAACAAACAGAAAAAAGAATGAAAAATTAATTTACAGAAATTGTATAAAATATGTAACAAAACAAGATCGTTCGCACTTCTCAATATTTCGAATTCTGTCAATGAATCTATAGAATATAGAGGTTAGGATGACTGTCTTGATATTTTTTCTTTTATGTTAAAGAAAACAAGATATAATATATAATGAATAAGCATTTTAACAATTATCATTACCTTAATTACATCTTTTAATCGGCAGAGCAGTTCATTGCTGATTAGTTGGGAGGGTCAGGATTTTAAGGGTCATAAAATTTGTAACCGATTGGTTTATATCTGGTTAGATGTAACGGTTTACTTGACCAGGTGTAAAGTAGCAGTCAAATGTCATTAAGTTGCATGGAGTTATTCTGAATAAGCAACTCGAATTCATTTAATATAGCCCTTTAGGGGTACTCCTAGCCTAAGTGGAGTATGATAGCCATTGAAATTTCAAGTGATTTTACTAAAACATATTGTGCGTTAATATAGCCCTTTAGGGGTACTCCTAGCCGAGGTGGAGTGACATGATAGCCATTGAAATTTCAAGTGATTTTACTAAAAAAAATTGTGCGTTAGTATCACTTTTGTTTAAAAGGGGAAATATACTTAAAAGTTATTACTGAAAAAAATCCGTGTCTCGGAAGGTCGTCGATAAGATCATACAATGCGTAATTGATGTCTTCTTTATTTGATTTTACAGACACCGATAGGAAAAACGGCGTTGTTCAACAACATAAAACACAAATTGAATTGTAGAAAAAATCAATTACTGAAGTAGTTTTTTTTTTTAAACTCAGAATGTTCCTTAGATGATAGTGTTAAATTATTGAACACACAGATGATCTTTAATAAATGTTTACAATTATTATATATAAAAGGACGGGGTTTAATCTCTATTAGGATTAACCTACCCTAACACTGCCCGTTGCCGTGGTTACGAATAGCCTTTCTATATCAAATGTGAAAATGGTATGAATTAAATTAAATTGTATAAAATTAATTTCACACACCGGCATCTTGGATGTTAGCCGATTAAAACATTTGGACGAACAAATATTTCCTCGTAAATACTTTTGACGCATTGATGATCTAACCTAACCGTAATTCAATGAAGCTACCAAGATCTCATCGTACTTGTTTATTAAAATTAGTGTTCTCACTTTAATTCGAAAATACTGTGGTTACGAACTACCTTATCCTAAATAATCTTCAATACGGTTTTGACGGTAATCGTGAAATAGTGCTTCATATATTATCGATAATCATTGGTCAAATTTTGTTTGGCGCACGTTATTTCACCGATATATCTAAAATGGGAAATCTAACTGAACAGAGTGGATGTGTATGTGGCCTATGGGGTAAAATATCGCAAGAGGAAAATGGTTGGGAACCACTGGTCTAGATTATTACGAAGTCAATTCCCGTTTTATTTTTTGATATTCTGTAAAATTAAGACTTTTATTACAGCCATGAGTTTATCGCCTACTCAGTAAGTTCCGACAGGTATCTGAGACCATTTAAATGGTATGTGCTTTGCTTTCTATTTCTAGAAACACAGATACGACTTCTCGTTTGATAATGTCATTTACACCTTTTTGTATTACATGTAATTATCATTCGGAAAATGCCTCACTGTTCGAGCCTATATAATAAACCTATTCACAATTAAATAATCTTATTGTTTTCAGATTCGACTTCTCGTTTGATAATGCCATCTACTTTAACCCTTTTTGTATTAATTACCAATCGGAAAATGCCTCACAGTTCAAAACTATATAATAAACCTATTCACAATAAAATAATATTCTTATTTCCATTATCTGAGACCCCTGAACAGATTACTCCGGCTTTTAAATGGGAAGATGAAGCGGCTATTGCAGTTTTCGTCGAGTAGCCTACTTGGTGACGCCTAGCTGTCAATATTCTTTTCGCAGAGGCCACATATTACCTTTAAATTTACTATTGGTAACCTTATTTTGTTTTGTTTTTTTTGGTTTTTTTAAAACCTTTTTGTACCTTTTCGCTTGTCCGCACTCTGTCACATGGATAAACACTGCCAATATCTATACTGATATGTGACCTGCCAGATCCAATGTGCTTATTTTATTCGCCAATAATTTGCACTACCGATTCCAGCAGTTTGGGAGACCTTTTCAACATCATCACTTTGTAATATTTATTAATTTCCGGAACATGTAATTTCAAAAATTACAGAAGCAATGTAAATATTTATTACGCTCTGCTCTCCGAGTTTCTCATTTAGGCCTTTTTGTAAAACTACAAAGGTTATATTTGGTTTCTTTCTTCGTTTAAAGTAAATGATGCAAGTTAATATAATTATAAGTTGTGTGTGTAGAAATTTAAAGGGTTGCAATGACGAGATAGGATAATCTAGATCGATATTTTACCTTTTCTAAATATGGATTCTTTTCCTGTGTTACCATCGATTGCTTGCTCGTCAACCGAGTACAGTGGCATACTTGATATTTCAAACAAAAACTGTTTTAGCTCTTAATAAGTTGAGATCGTTCACGTGTTACAGTAATTTTACTCTTATATTACTTGTTATGTCTGCGGTAATGATCACGAGTATCCAGTGCCTGCAAATGAAAATAATTCTTTCATTTACACTTTCTCTTTGAAATTCGATTATATAGTTTTCTTCATTCCATGTTTTATACAGCTCACAGTCAATTTGTGCCTAATTTCATATTAAGGTTCTCGCTAACAGCTTTAGTTCCTAATCGTACCAAAGTATGGACCTATAATGGGCTAATATACAGCTCAATCTAATATCGTGTGCTGGAAACCAGTAGAATAAATCACGCCAGTGGCTGTCTCGTAGTAAATAGGATTTGTATCGGAAGATAAACTGGAAAATCTGTTTCATTCGGTGTCTGTGTATCATTCGAATATGGAGTCGATATTTTTGACAATACGACGTTTTTCCTTCTGGAAAGCTGTGAAATGTGAATTTTTACTGACAATGTTTTACGTGTTAGTTGGATGCGCTTCCACAATTCCTGGAGATTCACATTATAAGCAGAATGTCAACGACTTAAAAGTGGCTTTAGCTTTTGGAATTACTTCCATGACGCTAATGCAGTGCTTCCTGCCAATTTGTGGTCCTCCTCAAATGAATCCGGCCATAACAATAGCTATGTTATGCACTAGACGTGTTCATGTTGTGACATCGTTTATCCATATTTTTGCTCAGTGTCTGGGTGGACTGGCAGGCGCGGGTATTTTGTACGGTGTGACTCCTGCCAGAAAACATGACAATTTAGGAGTAACTATGGTCCATAATGATATTGGTCGCGGTCAGGCTTTTGGTATTGAGTTTATAATAACGTTTATCATGACGTTTGCTTATTTTGCTGGCCATGATAACCCGGCTCTATTTGGAGGATTTCAGTCGGCACCTGTTGGTTTGTCTATTATGTTTGGTCATACCTTTGGGGTAAGTATCATAAAGGCAGGCTATCGTGTGTATTGGGGGTGGGGGGGGGGGCACTGATTAACTTGGTGGATGCAAGATGAAATGAATTCTAATAACCGTTACTCACCAGAACAAAACCCCAACTGTATCATTATTGGGGTGTCAAAATTTCCCAATCTATTTTTAAATCAATCAGTTTTAGTTCTTTCTGTAACAACTGCCTTTGTCCAAGCTTGTACGACAAGGAAATGGGTCGTCTGTTGTGGACCATGTCCGGATCCTTCGGCTTCCTCTGACGGCTAGATTCCTACGCGCAAAATTGAACCATATGTTACTCCTGGGTCAAGTGGGCGTACCCTCTCCCCGCCCCCTCGCTTTCTCTCATTGTAACTACTTAAACCATATTTGCCGTGCCAAAAAAGGTGCAGTTAATTTAAAGGTGTGCTTCGGGGAGTAGTTAATAACACGAACATAATTGTTTTGAACCTTTATCTATTTATTAATTTAAGAAGGTGGGTTTTACATCTTGCATTATAAAATGAAATGGGGGTTTAACATCCTACTGTTCTGCTAATATAATTGATATTGACATCGAAAGACCCCACCTACACCGATGCTTTGTTCTGTTGGTCTTGCACCCATTTCGGGTTGGGTGTCTTCATTCATGTATATCCAACCGTCCTTTGAATGGTCGTATATTATCAGCTACCTCATGCCATTCACGATAAATTAACTAAGGTTGTTCATATTCAATTTCCTAAATTACTATGGTTTAATGAAATTTTGTCCCATGGAAAGAATTCATTGTATTCAAAACAACAGCAACTAAAATAAAAGGAACATAACGAACTTCTATCTCTTAACACTCATATTATTTACCTGTTTAACACCCAACTAAACATTTGGAAAATGCGGTCATGAAAAATGCATTATGTTATTTTGTATGATTTTCCGTAATTTTCATTATTTTGTTGATAATAGGGGCATTTTCTCCGTACTTTAAATCGCTTATTTTATCCCTAAGCAGTTTTTTGCGGATTTTAACCGCTTATCTTATCTGGAAACAAGTTCCTTATCTGGGGAATTGTGATGCCATCGGAAGCTCAGGCTTAATAAAGAAGCACGTCTCCGTACTTTAAATCCCTTATCTTATTTGAAGAATTGTGATGCAATTACGGCATCGGAAGCCAGTGGAACCCAGCTTTAATAAGAACCACGTCTAATTGACTTGTTAGTCATGAAGTGGGGATCCATTAATAGACAGTTTAAATCCAGCCGTCGCTTCAATGGAATTAAAGGTCCGATTTCAGATAGGTTCATTCAATCAACAAAACTTGAAATGTTCGTGTCTTGAATTTTGTGGTCTTGATATTAATCTGTCCACACTATCCAAGTTCGCAATTCCAATAATTTCTTAAGGTACGATTTATTAAAAATTATTGTAAATTAAAGATGCATTATGCAAGAGCTAAACCTGTCTAGTGCAGGTCTTTTTTCTGGCTTCAAATGTTGCATTAACTAGTATTTAGACGAACTTCCGTGTCATGTAATAATTTAACGTTAAAACGGACAATCCATACTTCGTTTAATATCGTAGAAATGGTACTTGGCAATCGAGACTATTTAAGCTATATCGTGTCAAAACTTCAAACGCTCAGAATAAAGTAATTTGACTGAAATTATCTATTTGTGAACTTATATTGTAAGGACGACTAGCTCTTAACTAAACCTCACATAAAGCATCTTTAAAGATACATTACCATGAAAGTTAAATACCGTATTTCATGACACAAATGTCGAGGTATCCCTAAGAACGTAAGGAGTTTATTGTCTGCTGATCTAAGTCTTAACGGTTATGAGAGCACGGAGAGAATTAAACGTCCAGCAGGCTTTGTGGTTAAACGTCGGAAAAGGAGTTGGCTGAGGATAATCCACAAATTTACGCAGGCTTGGATATTTTGGTACATGGATAGCGACTAACGACAAATACACACTGGTAATGGATTCTAACCCAAGAAGATCACCTTTTAAACACAGCTGATAAAAATAGATTATCGCAGCATGGGAATATATCCAATTATAACATCAAATCACACGGTCTGTATACTCGGGAAGTCATCTTTAAAAGATTATTTGTGTCAAATACAAACATGGTAATAATTAATTCAGAACATACTTTAACCACTTGAACATAATTTTATTTTCATTTGTGCATTTAATTTATATCCTTGAAACTAAATATAGCTATCTATAGGTGACCCAGTCATAGAAAGCATGACTAGAGTACGAGGAAAACAATAAAATAAGTGCACTAAATCTACTTCAAGTCGGCCTTTCGTAGTTCAATGTACCAGTATCGTAGCGTAGCTCTGGACCCTCCGATCGTAGATCATTTTTCTCTTCGGATTTGCGCCATTTTATTTTTGATGCGAGGATGAATTTTATTTATTTTGAAAAACAATCTGTCATTTTTTTTCCGATCAAGACCGATGGGTCCCAGGTCCAGTCCGTCCCTGAATAGGGGTGAGTGTGTCGAGGTGGCACTACCACCCTTTTGTAAGATATTAAAATCATAGGCTATCTCCTTCTGACTACCCCAAAGCTACAATCACGTCAGTGCCAATGACTGAATCTGCCGAGAAGTCCGGCGGGGGTTTTCGACACTGCTATAGAGTTAAACCCTATTTAAGTTCATTTCTTAATATTGCCCCATTATTTAAAATTTAATGTACTAAGACCGTATTCTACTAAGACAGTTTATATTTATATTTGATTAGCAGGAAACACACACTTCAAACCCTATGCAATTGTTCAATGCCACATCCGTATGCAATATCCTTACAATTAATCATAGCTTGTATTAAACTATTATGAATTATATGGACTTTATAACCCTTTCATCTTAATTGTGTAATGTCAACCAAAGTGTCCTATACATGTATTTGTATTAGCCATCGTGAGTGGTTTCAATCTAAAGGGGTAGGGAGGCTCTCTTTATTAACATACATTTCATATACTTATACACTGAAAAAACCCTTGTGTTGGATCTCAACACAAGAACTTGTGTTAAAAATATTTAACACATGTTTGTGTTGTATTGCATTGCAATGACACAAGTTTGTGTTTTTTTCAATGTCTTAACACAAACTTGTGTACATTTATAAAATCTTATGTGTTTTTTTTCCATATAATTAATTACGTCGACATTAAAGATAACATTTATTATGTTCCTTTATCACTAGCCTATATGTAAAACCACTCTTCCTGAATTTGAATGTCGAGTAATTCACTTGATTTATTTTTTAATATTTCTAATTATCTAAAAGGATATATTAATTATTACAAACATTAAGTAGAAATCGCAATGTTTGTATCGTGCGATGCATTTAATATCTCTTTTAAAACAACGTATTTTATAACAGTATACTGATATAAGAGATCAAAGTTTTAGTCAATTATTATCTAAATATAAACTATTTATTTAATTAGATATAATAAAAGATTATTCTGATTCTACTCTTTGTTTATTTTCACATCTTGTCTCAGACAATATACAGAGACAGGTTATTACAATGTCTGCGTTTGGAAGTGTCTGATTGATATCGCCCCAATAAACTTGACACATCAAAGACAATAACAATTGTGTTATATCTACGTTTTAAAAAAATGTTTGAATGGGCGTGGAAATAGTCGAGTTAATCTTTTTATTTAATTTAATTGGTTCATTAATCGAAATTGGAAATTTATTCTTACCTGTAAATGACCAATTAAAATGAATTACTCTTAAAACAAAGAAAGAAATATTTATTGAAGTAATTTTGCGGTATTAAACCCTGTGGTACTGCAAATGTTAACTGTATTATTAAGCATTAGTATCGAAAAAAGTGATATTGTTGTGAAAAAAGTTTGTTCAGAAAATAAGAATATCAGGTTTGTGATTTTGGTATTTTTTAATACAATGTATTTATAACGCAAATTTTTCGTTTCGGTTAAAACAAAATATACCTCCATTTTAATTGGCCGAAGGATGTGTGACTAATAGAAATATGGCGGGCGGACAAACTGACCAAACAGTATATTTCGAGGTATTTGAGGTAAGCTAATTTAATATTATATCATAACTGCATGTGCATAATTGTGTTTCTGTTTGATTAAATATTCAAAAAATCATTCTTAGGATACAACCTCGACACCAGTCCGCCCTGAATTGCAATGTTTGTTTTGTGTTCTGGGCGCCATTTTGAATATAATACAATCCAGCGATAGTGTAGTCTAATTCCTTTAAAAGGGAATCCGAATTTGTTAATTTTCTGCAATACCACTTCGGTGGTAGCGGACGTTAAATAAAGCTATTTCACGTACAAAGACCTACAATAAAATCCAGGTGAATTGGGAAAAATATTCATGTATTTTCTTGATGAAGAGTAGCTATTTCAATTTGTAAATGCCCAGTCATCTTAGACAAATAATAATTCCAACTTCAAATCGGTTGTATTTATTCAAATCATACCATGAAGAATTGTATTTTTCCACTTGCATAATAATAAAAACTTGACTTTTATTATTTTATTTCTTCAGGCCAAGAGCACGGAAAATTGGTAATTGCCTTGTATCACTGCTAACTATAAGGCACAGGGAGCCTTGGGCAGAAATGATAATATGGTTCTCAGATATGTTACTGTGTACAGACTGAACAGAAAATATTTATACACTTGCTATTACAGTACTGGACAAATTAATAGCAATTTTTTCTAAAAACGTTGCAGAATTAACTCACTAAAATTGAAGTATGAATAAAATCATACACCGTGAATATATTGAACTGAATATTCTTACACATAACCATAGGCGTACGGGGAAATTTTTGACTGGGGGGCGGTGGTGGTTGGTGCCCCAAAAATGTAGTTAGGTTCTTAATATGTTACATAATAATAATAAATTCGCTGTTAAATTGGACACATTAAGAACACAATATTTTTTTATACAACTTTTACAAAGTACAATTGTGTGCCCAAATTTTC